AAAAATTATATAAGAATTATAATTAAAAATCTTTTAAAAAAACTAATTAAAAGAAAACCCTTTTCCATTTTTTACTTAAAAATAGTTTTTTTTGTAATAAAACCAAAAACTTTAATTTTTATAAAAAGGTTTGAATTTTTAAATAATTATGCTTCAATCAAGAAACTTTTTTTGTTTGGATTCATCAGATGTTTAAGGGTTCGAAGCAAAAAATGAAAATACTTTTTAGCAAATTTTTGATATCCAGTGTCATTTTATTATATAAAATACATTTAAAGAATTAATAAAACTGAAAAATTGAAAGACATATAATGATTGAAAATGGAATCCAAATTTGAAGACATATGATTAAAATAGTTTTCTATATATATTAACTAAATAAATAACTTTATAATATAATATATAATATATATATATAGTTAAAATGATTAAAATAGTTTTCTATATATTATATATAGAAAACTATTTTAATCATGTCTTCAAATTTGGATTCCATTTTCAATCATTATAATCATTTTCAATATATATAAACTAAATAAATAACTTTATAATATAATAATAATTAAAAAAATTTATTTATTACATATTGTAAACTAAATTTACCCATTGTTACAATTACACATGACATAAATTTAGATTTATGTAATAATTGCATAACAATGAAAAATCTTTTAATCAAAAATGTAAAAAATGATTTAATCATTTAGCTTAAAATATGCTAGCAGGAAGCTACCAAAAAAGAAATGTTAAAATCTTTTTAATGTCTAGGATGTAAAATTTAAATTAAAAATCTATTTAAAAATATTTAAACATAAAAAATGTAGTTAACCCTTAAACAGTCCATGCCATATTATTACACAAACTGAAAGTGGTTTCTTAATGTCCATGCCATAATATTACTCACAAAGAGATTGAAAATTATATATTTGATAAATGATTAATGAAAAGATATATTTGATGAATGATTAATGAAATTGATAATTAAAGAATAATGCTTAGAGAAGGTATGTATGTTACAAACACAAAGTTCGAAAAGATTCAAGAAATGAATGTGTAGAATGTGATGTAGGATTTGCAGCTCCATGCTCTGCCAAATTTTAAGCAAAAAGTGAATATTGGAGAATATATTTTTAAATTTTTGTGTTTAAATAGTATGATTAAATATTCTTAAACTTGAATAATAAAATTTTGTAGTGTTTAATAGTGTTGAAAATAGTAAAAAAAAACTTTTTTTAATTTATTAGTAAAACACATGATGTTTTTCAAAAACATGGAACATTTAGAGACCACTTCAAAAAAAAAAGCTGTCCTACGAGCGACCATAACTTAAAAAACACGGAACTGTTAAAGGGTTAAATGTACCTTTAAGCTCTAATGTATCAACAGGCACATTCTTTTCATTCATTCTGAATAATTCCAGGTTATAATATATTCTCTAAAAAAAAGTTATAATATATTCTCTTTAAAAAAAAAAAAAAAAAAAATTATTTCTGCTTTAAATTAAACATTTAATAAACCTTTTTACTCTTTGTAAGCCTTTCAACTTTAACACAGAGATAGTCACCACTTTTTTGCCAAAACATTTTACACTAACAAATATGAAAAAAATTCATTAAACTCTATGATATCAAAAATTAAAAAAAAATAATATTATAAGCACATATCAAGGAAATTTTTTTAAATTTATATTCAAAGATTAAATAAAAATATCTAATTAAAACAACATTTAATATCAAACCAAAAAAAAAAAAATAAGATAAAACCAAAAAAAAAAGTTTTCAATTTTTTATTACTAAAAAACCAAAAAAATTAAAATACTTACATCCTGAACATTAAAAAGATTTTTAACACGTATCTCCTTTTTGCTAGGTAAATGCATAATGCAAAGTCTTGCTGGAGTATCTTTATCTTCAGGAACCCAATAAGCAATTATGTTTTGTTTAGGTGACCATGAAAAGTCCATTAAACCTGGTATTTTAATGCTTTTTTTCTCAAGTAGAACAAAATTAGGTGACTCATAAATACTAAGATTTTCTCCATTAGATCTTGCCACCATACTACCGTCAGGACTCCATCTAAAAAATCTCAATCAGCAAATCATGAACAACAAGCAAATTGTTATAAATAAACTAGAGTTATTATCGACTAAATCTATTTAAAGTCAACTAGTCGAAAGTTGAAATTAGTAGACCATGAAAAATTGAACAGTTAATTTAATCAAATATGGATTTCCTACTAACCGACTAAAAGTCGATTTAGTCAATAATCTTAAAATCCTTGCATCTTTTTATTCAATTTAATTTTTTCAACTTTTGTTTGTTCATTTAATATGAATAGCATGTGCTATGATAACTATTGCATACTGTTTTGTGCATATTGTCTTTTTTTATAAAATTCATAACATGTTAGCAATATTTATACCTAATTAAACTTTCGGTTATGTATTTCATTAAAAATCTTTTTTACACATATGCCATGCTTGTGATTTTCATTAAGGAGCCAGCTTGGAACGGCCCTGTATGGAAATACTAATGAAAATCATAATATGATTAATACTAAATCATAAAAATGATTATAAAGACTTTTTGATAATTAACATGTATTTAAGGCAGTCCCTAAATCATTGTGGTTCGGAAATAAATCGGAGTGGGCCTGCTCTCAATTTGTTTTTCTCCATTATTTTTTAAATGATGCGTTGTTTAACAATTGGAAACTTTAAATTATTAAATTATATTTAAAAAATTTAAATTACTTTATTAATACTTTACAATTTATTTCAAAAAAAAAAAAATTAATTCCTATATTTTTACTAAATAGACTTAATTGAAATTAGTTGAGTTATTATATAAGTTATTATTTAAGCTATTTATTATTTTTAAGTTATTATTATATATTAAAGTTGTTATATAAGTTTTAAATTAAGACTTAGAAAATATGTTAGTTAATTTAGTCGACAATCGAATTATCTAAAACCATAACAACACTAAAATAATTAACTTTAAAAAAACTAAACTTACTTGAAAACTGGCCATGTTCCACCAGCAACAAAATCTCTCTTCTTCATACCAGTCAAAATATCCCAAATGACAATAGCCTAAACCATATTAAAACTGTATCAAAAAATTTATTGATCATATTTTAAAAAGCTGTATGCTTACATCCTATTTGACAAATAATCAGTTTTTAAATTAGTCTCTGTGAAAAAAAATTAGATGTTGCAGGCCTTTTTTAAACACAAAATTAAACTTAAAATTAAACGGCTGCATTAAAATTTTTCACAAAACATTAAAGTATGATAAATTTTTTTTTTGATAACACAAGTTAAATTGCAACGATTATTTTTTAATAAACGATATATACAGCAATACAATTTTAATAAATGATGTTTGGAAATATAATGCTGCTTTCACAACAAAATCATTAATAAAATAAACTTTTAATAAACAAAGTAAATAAATTAATGTAATTTTTAGAAAAGAAACATGAAAAACAATTTATTTCAAAAGAAGACTATTGCAACAGTTCCTTTATTAAAGAGTGTTTCAAAACATGTACTTATGGAAAATACTTAAAAACATTTATTAAACTGTTATACAAAATAAAAATAAAATACTATTATTTTTTGTTTAAAAAAAAATAATGAAGTTAAATTATTTTTCAATTGTCTAATTATAACTATGGTATGCTTGAGTGCATGCGCCCGTGTGTATAAATGCATATATATATATACATATATATGCATATATATAAATATATATATATATATATATATATATATATATATATATATATATATATATATATATATATACACACACACATATATATATGGGCAATTCCATTTTTAACTTTTGTTACACGTGCAACAACTTTACCAAATATTTGCTTCTTTAAACTGTAAATTAAACTTATTTTGTATGAAAGCGATTTGGATTAAAAACTTTCACAAGATGTTGAGAATTCTATACCAATTTAAAAAATATATAAATATTTTTGAGGTGACTGGCAAAGGTAAATTAATTCATTTTTTGATACTATATATTTAATTTATGTTACATCACTTACGTTACTGAGCAATTTTTATCTTGGATTTTTTATATCTATTATTAAGAGTTAGAGTTACATAACAAAAAAATTGCAAAAGTATTCAACTCATTAAAAATAATTAACAAAGGAAATTCTTTAAAAACTGGTGGCACTCTTCCTAAGTGATTTTTCATAAAATTTATGAAAATTATCAAATCAAAAATAGTTTTTCCGCAAGACCAAGAGCAACTTTAAAAAATTATTTTAGTATTACAACTTAATACTTATTTGAGTAATTAAAATTCAAAACCAGAAGATTCAAACTGTAACAACTCAACACTCAGAGTTAGTTTCATTGATTCATTGTTGGATGAAACTGGGATCAAAGAAGGTATCACTAATAGTTATTTGGAGCTTTTATAGTTAAAAATAAACAACTTAAAAATCAAAATGATGGTAAGGATTATAAGGGGCAAACAGATTCTATCTGTTGACCAGCCTCGCACCCCTTCTCCATCTATAGGCTGGCGCAGATGTATTTTTAATACATTGTTTGCAGTTTAGGATGTTGAACGCTGGATCTTCTTGACTCGATGCATGGATTTTGTTTGTGTCTCTGTTTTTATGACAAGGCAACTCATTCTATTATCTCCAAATGAGGGCACAGCTCTAAAACTCAGTTTTATGGTTCTGAGGCTGGCTGGTAGTCAGGTTTCCCGAATTCTGTGGTAGCTCTCAGAGAGGCTGATTCCATCAACAGCTGAAAAATATCACAGTACTAACAGTGCCATGTTGCGCATGGATGGTGTCCCTGTTTGTACTTTTGGTGTGCATTGCCAAGGCCACATTGGAGCCCTTTGTTACGGCTTAGGGTTTATTAGTGGACATGAGGCAATTGCTTGGGCTATAAAACAGTGTACTGAGTACTATCTATGTTTCGAGTAAAGTTCTTTAACAAATTTAAAAATGAATAAAGTAACAAAAACTATAAAACACAAAAAACCACAGTCATCACCAATGTTTGCTAAACCTAGCATTTCCAATATTCGTGGTCTTCGAAGTAACTTTTCTTCTGTTGAGTCTTATCTCTTGCAAAGTTCAACAGACCTACTTGCTCTTTGTGAGACTAATTTGAATTCAGCTGTCTCATCTTGTGATCTTAGTGTCAATGGTTATCTTCCTTTAATTCGTAAAGACTCCAATAGTCACATGCTTGGCCAAGGCATTTACATTCGTAAGAATTCACCCATTTGTCGGTTAAACTAGGTTTGAATCCACAGACTACTCTTTTATATGCTTTCGTTTAGCACCACTTCACTCTACCACCTTTCTCTTTGTTCTATATCGCTTTCCTTCATTTCAAGACTGCACTATTCTCGATGTTATTTCTGATTATATTGACCAAGCCCTCATTCTTTATCCATCAGCCAATATTGTTGTTGTCGGTGACTTGTTCATCACACTGAATGGCTTGGCTCTAGTGTCAGTGACTCCGCAGGCATTAAAGCCCACAACTTTTGCCTTTCCCAATCCTTAACTCAAATAGTCAACTTTCCAACTCGCTTTCCAGACAACCCGTATCATTTACCTTCTCTACTTGACTTATGTCTTGTTTCTGATCCTAGTCAGTGCTCAGTTTCTCCACACTCACCCTTAGGTGCTTCTGATCATGGTTTGGTCTCTCTAAAACTATTATCTTATTCTTCTTTATCATCAGAATCCCCCTACCATTGTACATCTTACAACTACCTTAAAGCTGACTGGGACTCTTTCTGTGATTTTCTTTGTGATGGCCCCTGGGTAGAAATCTTTCGTCTTCCTGTTGACAAATGTGCTTCTTACATAACTTCATGGATTCAGGCTGGCATGGAATCCTTTATTCCCTCCTGACGATTACAGGTCAAGCCTCACTCTTTTCCATGGTTTTCCTTGCATTGTGCTGCTGCAATTGCCAATCAAAACCATTACTTCCATATCTATCAGCAAAACAATTCTCCAGAAAACAGTTGTCTGTTTATTACTGCTAGGAACCATTGTAAAAAGGTTTTGTCTAATGTCAAAGCCCGCTATTCTCAGATCATGAAATCTCAAATTTCATCACAAAAGTTAGGCTCTCATGACTTCTGGAGAATTTTTAATAGTATCAATAATAAGGGCAAGTCTGTAATTCCACCTCTTTTGTATGGTTCAGACTTTGTCACCTCATCTAAAGACAAAGCTGAATTGTTTGCCAAGAACTTTTTATCAATATTATCTCTTGATTTCACTAGTTGCGCTCTACCTGATATAGCCATTAAACAGGTTGATCCACTGCTCCACATCCGTATCACTCCAGCTTCTGTATCCAAAGTGATTTCCCGCTTAGACTCTTCTACAGCTTGCGGCCCAGAGAAAATACCTGTTATAGTCTTGCAGAAGTGTTCTCCGGAGCTGTCGTCTATCCTTTCAAAACTATTTAACAAGTGCTTATCAGAGTCTTGTTTTCCAGCCTGCTAGAAAGCAGCATCTGCTATCCCTATTTTTAAAAATTCTGGAGAGCGATCCAATTCGTCTAACTACCGTCCCATTAGTCTTCTTCCTATCATAAACAAGGTTTTTGAATCTTTAATTAACAAACACTTAATCTCTCATCTTGAATCACATAACCTACTTTCTGATCATCAATATGGATTTCGATCTTCTCGTTCTACAGCTGATTTGCTAACAGTAATAACCGATAGGTTTTATCGCGCATAAGATAAAGGTGTAGAAGTTAAGGCCATCGCTCTTGACATTTCTAAAGCGTTTGATAAAGTTTGGCATGCTAGTCTTCTCCATAAACTTTCTTTTTACGGTGTATCTGGAAACATCTTTAAGATTATTGAACCCTTCCTTTCCAATCGTAGTATAAAAGTTGTCCTTGATGGACAGCACTCTTCTTCTTATTCTGTAACATCAGGGGTTTCTCAAGGTTCAATCCTTAGCCATATACTCTTTTTAATTTACATTAACAATCTTACAGATATTCTCACATCTAAGGTGGCATTGTTTGCTGATGATACTACCATTTATTCTTGTCATGATAAGAAGCCAACTCCCTCTGATTGCTTGCAGGGGGCATTTAAGCTTGAAAAGAATCTCACTTCTGCTACAGCATGGGGCTCACAGTGGCTGGTGAACTTTAATTCAGATAAAACTCAATTTTTTTCAGCCAATCACTATCGCAATAATTTAGACCTTCCTATATTTATGAACGGTAATGTACTCGATGAGTCTCCTACCCTTCATCTTCTAGGATTAACTCTTACTTCTGATCTTTCTTGGAAACCTTATATCAAATCCGTTGCAAAATTAGCATCTGCTAAAGTCGCTTCTCTTTATTGAGCTTGTCACTTTCTTACTCTGGATTCTATTCTCTATCTCTATAAATCTCAAATCCGACCTTGTATGGAATACTGTTGCCATATCTGGGGTGGATCTTCTAATGATGCCCTTTCTCTTTTAGACAAGGTGCAAAAACACATTGTAAACATAGTTGGACCTGCTCTTGCAGCCAACCTTCAACCTCTGTCACATCGTCGTAATGTTGCTTCTCTTTCTCTTTTCTACAAATACTATAATGGGCACTGCTCTAAAGAGCTAGCGTCTCTTGTATCATCTACTAAAATTCATTTGCGTGTTACTCGTCATTTAATTAAGTCTCATCCTTTTTTTTTAGTTACTGTTCCTAAGTGCTCCAAAAACTCTTATTCGTCTAGTTTTTTTCCTCGAACATCAGTTCTTTGGAATTCGCTTCCTTCATCTTGCTTTCCTGATTCATATAATTTGCAATCTTTTAAGTCGTCTGTCAATCGTTATCTTGCTGTGCAATCTTTATCTTTTCTCTTCCAGTAATTTCCAACACTAATTAGTGGTTGCTTGCAGCCTTGTTGGAAGCGAAGATGTTAAAAAAAAACAAAAAAAAAAAAACAGAAAATCTTTGGTTTGTCGAAGTTTTTACTTACAATTCTTAGGTTTATGCGTATTGACTTATTTTCATTAGGTTCAATTTTTTAAATGATGCACAGTATTTACATTTAATACTTTTAA